GTAAACCATCACAGATCACATACCTCTCTACCTTAATTCTCTGATGAGATGAGCACTCCTTCCTGTTTCCTTTCAAAGGAAATGATATGACATTTTAACCTGTACAATTTGTTACTCCCTTACTGTCACTGAGATGCTTCATGTCTCGTGAGCTTTACTAGACTACATGAAGCTTATACTATTACTATTCATAGTTTTATGTGCTGTTCAAATTCTCAAACAAGGAAAGAAGGTAACTCCAGGCTGTATTTTTTCAGTTCAGCTTGAGAAATGTCAAGTGTACCCTGTCTTTGCATATCTATCATAATTTTCTCTTGTCTTCCCAAGCCACCCTTCGAAATCTTTTATTTCACCATTTGCATTAATTTCTCTACATTCAAAAGCAAGTTTGTTTCTTCTGACATCCATTTTGGCCTTTTCTTTATTTCCTTTTTGATGAACTTTTGCATTCTTCATGTCTGATGTTTTTGATGCTATTCCACAACTCTCCTGGTCTTCAGTCACCAAAGGTTAATGCGTCAAATTATTGAGATTATCTTTCAATTCAAGTGGGATACTCTCAAGGCCATACTTGGGCTCTCATAGAATTGTTTCATTTGTTATTCCTGTGTATTTCAGCTGATGAGGTCCATGCAGTCATTATCTATGTTGCTGGAACAAGGTATCTAATGGGCACCATAAATTGTTAATCTAAGTAAGTAGCTGAACATAGCATCAGGACTGAAGGCTCAATTACAACATGTAATATGCAGATGGCACGTTGCTTGCCTGATGGGAACAGAATTTGAAGCACTAATGAAGATCAAAAACTACAACCTTTAGTATGGATTAGATAGACAAAAGTCCTTAAAACTAGACTAACTAATCATGATAAATGGAGAAAAGATGGAAGATGTCGAGGATTTCTGAAGTGGGTGAATTAAGACGGTTTTTTTCAGCCATAGTCTTGGTTATTCCCACCAATGACCTTTTGGTCCATGGACCTGGGTAAGAGGTGGGGGAAGACAGGATTCAGCTGCGAATGATTGTTAAAAGGGTTCATTGTAATTGTCAGTTTTTGCTGAGCTTAACATGGGCCATCTCAGAGGTAGGAGTCCTCACTACCATCAAGAGCCAAGTCAGAATGTGCCCTGCTCTTTAGACGACAATCCCCGTGCAGCACCAGAAGGGCAATACCACCGGTACCAGGAATCAGAGCACGGCACAATGGTGGACTTGCCTGCCCACGGAGCAAGTAAAGCTGTGCCTCTGGACAAGAGGCTGGCTTGGAGGGTGGGGTGCCTCCAAGCACTTAATTGGGGGAATTAGGTTTGCTGACCCTTTCAGGCTGAAGCTTATGGTGGAATAGTGTGCTCTTTGGGCATTTATTGGCCTCTCTAAATATTACCTCGTAGCTGGTCTGAGGAGCTGGCCCCAATCCCAACTACATGGACAGCTGCCCCTCCCCCCAGAATTTACTTCAGAGGACAGCACTGAAGCTA